TCCTCTAATGGGACTGAGTCCAATGATCCCCACAGACCCCCCATGTTAAAATGTACATCTTTACAGAGAGGTACAACATGGTTTTAGCTTTTGTGGCCATTTTCCTACTTAATAATAACTGCTTTTTGAGACTATATAGCCCTGAGGAGGCTTCAGCAGACAGTGTTTTTCCTATTTCTTAAAAACATGATTTTCAGATAGTGTTCATTTGCTCTAGATTGTTTTGACCTTCAGTCAGCTTCTTTTGCTTCTTCTTCTTTTTTTGTTTTTTTCTTTTTTTTTTTTTAAAAGGGACGCAATGCAAAACATGCCGAGATATACCAAGCTGCCAATTGCAGCCATAATATGGCCATTATGCCTCTGAGCTACAGCTGAAAAGGGCCTACATCCCTCGAGTTAGATGCCTTTTTATGCGTCAGTGATTCTTATTTAAGTGTTGGTGCAGAGAAATTAGAAAAACGTCAGAGGAGTTTTGAGCTGGATGTCAGTTTTCACTCCGCATCTTCCAACTCCATTGTCACGAAGAACAAGTGACCCACGTCTGAATCACATGATGCTGACTCTTTGATAGTCTGGTAAAGCTTAGCAATGATACACAGCTCATGTGCTCCAAGTCCACTACTGTACAACAAGCCAGACTTTTCTCTGCTTTTATCAACAGGAAACAACAGGCGGGGGCACCGAGAACGCTGACAGAGTGCTGACTGATGCGTGAAAACAGCTTTTCAACCAATGAGAAAAGAGGGCTCGGCATTTTTTTTGCCCTGTGCAGTGCACAATAGAACCGTGGACGCACCTATCAGAGGCCTCTCTGAAGATGAACCACAGCTGTGTCATAAGACTGATATCTACATCTAGGTGTGTGATGGGTGGCCTTTCCTGTTATTGTGGATGTACTGTAGAAGAGGAAGCATTTATGCTGCTTGTAAATAAAAACCTAAATAAAAAACTGCCTCATGCCGGGCTCACACTGTGCGATTTTTGGCCAATTTTGAGCCGATTTTTGAGTCGTGCGACCGTTTTGGCGATCGGCCCGATTTTGGCCTTCATCGTGCGTCGTGCATCGACATATACGTGTATACGTGGGGTAACGAGAAGCAATTAACACCTTGGTCGCTTGGTCGTGAGGGTGTCGCCGCAGTTTCTCACACCGCGCACGCGCAAACACAAAAGTCGGCGAAAAAGACGGCGCAGCACGGCAGTGCAGCGTGTGATCTGGACACACGTGATGAAGGCACTTGTAGAACTTTGGAAAGCTCATCCGAGCCTTTTCGATGTGGCCTCACAAAATTATCACGACCACAACAACCGTGAAAATAGTTGGATGGACATTGCTGCTCAATCACAGCTGCCTGATCAATGTTTTTCATTAGCAATTTAGCAAAGTTGATGGCGGTGGTGTGCGTGTCTGTGTGAGTGAAAGACAGAGGGGGAGCGAACGACAGAATTTCTGTTATAACCTTCATTTTATGGACGCACAGTGTGAGCACTCGGGTCGCATCAGAGCATCGGGTCGTATAATGTGAGACCCTGCATCGGGACCTACGAACTTCTAACCCCTGCGAGTCAATCGTACAGTTTGAGCAGGAGCTGAATCGCGCGACTGACAAAATCGCAGTGTGAGCCCGGCATCAGTGAGTGAGACTGATAAATGACCACTGGTGGCCTAAAACGGTGCAAATTAAGTAAATTACAACACAGGAGCCAACTGGAAGGAGTCATGGTCCTCCTTTAGAAGTAATTAAACTGGAAGAGGAACACGGGGATATGACTGGGCCCGCAAGGTACTCATCCTCATGTTTAACCAGCTGCACCAGACTGTACTTCCTGTCATCTCCACCCCCGATGTTTTTAATTAACAAGCAAATAGGCAGGATGCCTGTCATAGGAGCTGCTCTCACAGGAGCTGTCCCTCAGACCTTTTACCAACTGTGAACAAATAAATCTTCAAAGGGTGCAATAGAAGACTACTCAAACATACTTTATGAAACTTTTTTACTTTGTATTGAACACTGAGCTGGTTGTAGTGCAACTCCCCAACATTTGACCTCCCTGACTCTCAGTAGCATCTAAACGCCTGTGGACTAATGTGTGAAGGACAACTTTTTCTTCCCCTCCAAATACAAACAATGTGATGTTTATGCTAACTCACAAGTGCATAGCCTACATGTGTTTCTTTCACTGCCAAAGTCAACAATTGCAAGACTAGCTACAGTAAAACAGAAACTGAGTTCACTAATATCACTAACATCAGGACCGACTCCCGGCCAAGCTCAGAGACTTCTCTGTGCAGAGAGAGCCCACACAGGCATGTTCTCCCCATGCCTGTGTGGGCTCTCTCCAGGGACATCAGCTTCACACAGAACAAAGACATGGTTGGATTTTGCTACTAAAAAAAGGCCTCCTTCACAAACAGAACACATGCAATCTTAGCGTAAACAGTTCACACAAATGTGAGTTTCATTGATTATTTCATATTCTACAAACATAGAACAACCTCTGAGCACATGTACAAAAGAAATTATGAAGTCCTGGATACATCTAATACTGCTCAATAATAATAATAATAATAATAATAATAATAATAATCCTCTCTTCCTTCAGGTTATTGCATACAGTTTACACCATAAGCCAAATGAATACAAGCAAAACATTTAACTGCATGTAAAGGAAAGCTTACGTGTAAGCTAGTCCAATAATAAAAGTATCAAGTCATAAATGAACAGAAGGGGTGGGCGAATGGAAACATCTACTAGAAAAAAGATCATCACCTTACAAACAGCAGCCTGAAGGATGGCGTCGAAGCCGCCCTCCGGTGCGTCTCTATTGCGAGATACCATCTGCTTCTGCACCTCCTCGTTAAAACGGTCCACTTTGTCAGTCAGCGAGAGGATGTGGCGGAAACCGAAGCTGGGGACACAGTTGGGAAACAGCTTGTACCTGTGCAGGGTGACAGACACACTGCATGTTAGGATTTTATTTACATTTTTGGAAATTAAAAAACACAATAAGTGTCTTTAAAGGCATAAATCCTGGCTCTGACGGTTTGTTTGTGTTGACAAGAAGCTTAAATGTTAAATATGGCGTATCTTATGATTCACTTCATATACAGTACTTGTAGACTGTTTCTAATGTAGTGAATGGGATAGCTATGAAAGAAGGGAGATCTTTTAGCAGGAATCGCTTTAGTTTTTCCCTGAAGTGCCTTATTGTTTGTGACTGATGCACAAACACACACTCACAAAAATATCTAAACATGGCACACACACAGAGCCCAGGCCATAACCTAAATGGGAAGTGATGCGCACAGAGTTAGCCGCACCTCCAGGGCAAACATTGTGTACCACAGCTTTCTCTACTCTTTCACTTCTGCTCCCTTTCAGTTCGCCTGCATCACCAGCCCCAGGGGACAGTGGGAGTACTAGGGCCATTTTTAAGAACTACATTATTCCATCTGCCTTCTAAATATTAAGAAAAAAAACTCATTCTCACAGATGCAGAGTACACGATTCAGAAAGGTGCAAAAACAGAGTGTGGCCACAAAGTAAATCTCTTTCACCTACAGCTATTGAGCTCAATTCTTTTGCTACCACCTACCCATCGCATGGATTCTCCTGGTACTTTGGTGCCATGTAGGAGAACGGGGACATGTTTTTGTCCACAAATGAGCCGAAGCCTAGCCTGAAATTGCTGGTGAGCTTGCCCATCTCGTGGGCTAGCTTAGTGCCCAGGTTGCGAATGGTGTCCAGATCATCTTTCATTGAAAGAGAGAGGTCCATCAGGTAGTAGAGATCCACCGGGTAGTCCTCCACCTGCCGCACTTGCAGGCTGAACCACGTCTGGTCTCCTGCATGAAAAAATCAGTGAGCTTTGCATTATTTATAAGAGATGCTTTTATTACTTTTTTTTTTTTAATGTTCCAAGGTTATCCCATATCCTAAATATGAAATGTTTATGATTCTTACCGGGTCGCAGGCTGAGAGAGATCTTCTGTGGCATAATCTGGACCACATCATACTGGGTTGACCCAGAACCTTTTGAACTTAGGGGTATGTTCTGCAGGACATTGATGCTGCTGGTTGGGTATTCAATGAAGTGTTTGTCACAGCCTCTCTTCAACAGGTTTTGACTAAAGTCACACCGTGATGTCAGACTGCGCCCCCTTCCAAAATCCTGCATATAGAAAGCAACAAATCTCAGATTCCTGATTACTCATACTGCTTCCAAAAGGTCAAAAAAAAAAAAAAAAAAGTGAAAAGTGCTGAATGCATCCCGCACTTCACTGGACCTGTACAAGTAAATGTACATGATGAAAATAATCGATCAACTAAGCCATACCTCTTGTGCGCACCAGGCGCAACTGGGGTGAATCAGGAGGCATTCTTCACAGGAAGTAGCACTGCCACTCATGCACATGTTGAGACCTGAGGGAGGACGGGAACAGAGCAGAGGCTAGATTTCGACTTTCATCCCTATCACGGTTGCACTTCTATTTCAAATTAATGACCAAGGAAACAGACCCTAAGGTTAAAAAAAACTAATAATAATGCAGCCTATATTTGGTCAAAGATTAAACAGGACCTGTGATGCTCATTTCCATCTTTTCCATATTTATTAGAATAACTCTGAGTACAGAATTTGGAGGCTGATGCAAACATTGATTTTTGGGGATGTAAAAAAAAACCTGATATGAAAATCTCAGCCAATATTCTTAACATGTTGCTTGTTCATATGAAATCATGGAGGCTCTGATTTAGCAGCTGAACATCAGCTGGAGTGATCATGGCCTTGGTGAGCTCTTAAATTTATCAATAGTTTCAAACATTTGTCTGACTGACTGTGTGGCCATTCAAAGGTAAGCGTGACATATGGTTGATTTCCTTGGCACTGAATGGGGAATAAATAACAAAAAAAAATCGTATCTTGCTCCAATCTTATTTCCACAGTAGCTTTGCATGATTCACAGTTAAAAAATAATCCTTATCTATCCTAGGGCCTGTAGTCCTTTCGTTTATCACTGTCAGAGGCTTCGCAGTGTTTTTTCGAGGAGCTCCGCGTGTGTGATCCAAACACAACCCAACGGCCGCTGCAAAAACAGGCAGTGATTTGTGCTGGGAAGAAGACAGTCCTGCGTCCTACCTCTGGCGCTGGGCAGCACTGTTTGCAGAAGCACGCAGCACAGAGCCGCCTGCAACATCCACGTCCCGAGGCTCCACATGGTGTCCCTGTGGGTGTTTTTAAAGGCTTAGGGAAACACCGGCTTCGTATCTCTTCAGGAACCGATGGCACCGTGTTACTCTCCCATCAGCGCGCTCACCAGAATAAGTCCAGCTGATCCGTGCAAATCAAAACAGTGTGGCGTGTTTAGACCATTTCACATCCACAGACACGCGGGTTTGGGGCTCATCACAGTGAATGATCCGTGTGAGATGAGGGACAGCAGTTCCATTGTCTTCAAGTGTGAGAGTCAGCGCTCTGCACCGTCCTGTTGATCTGCTCTCTTAACTCAGGCTTCGGTGTCTGACGCCTCTGTAGCCTTCCACGTCTACTCTGTCCTCAGCTGACAACTGCTCTCACACTTCTGCTTCATAGCACCTCTCGTTTCAAACCCACCCAAAGATCGCTAAAAGAGGAAAAAATCCCGTCCCAAATTAGATGAACAAAAACTGCGCTCAACTGTGATTTTCCTTTCCAGATTTGAGCATTGGTTTCTCGGTTTGCTTCCAGCTGGAATCTCCGCCCACTCCCTGCCAGGGATTGCTTTAACCCGTTCGTGCCTTTTGGAGTTGTCGGTACCACATTATGTCGACCACGTGGGGACATCTAGCGGTGAATGCACAGAAAGCCCCAGATGGGAGGCATCGACAAGGAAACACTGCTCTTGTCATAATCCTATTCTGGTATACCAGAGGTTCCCAAAGTGTGGGGCGCTCCCCCTAGGGGGGCGCAGAGCAATTAATGACTTAAAAACAAACAAACAAACAAACAAAAGGCTTGGACATTGCTACCATAAAGGACAGGTTTTTGACGGGGCTCCCACACAAACTCAAAGCAGAAGATAAAGCACCGTCAAATATGTTTCCAAACCAACTTCCTTCCAAGCCAAAGACTAGAAAATATGGTTGTCATGGAACGGACATATTATAGTTGTTTAAGAAGTGTTACTACCACCTAGTGGTAACTAAGCAGAATGGGGGTTTTTTTGTAGAGGAAGTGGTCTACAGGAAGTAGTGTGCTCTTTAGCTGCTGCAGTGACAGCATTTGTAATCTGATGGCAATCTCTGCAATCCTGGTGTTAAAGTCCACAATATCGGCTTCATCCGTAAGTTCCTATACATTTAATGTGTATTAGTAAGTTTTGACACTGTTTTGAGTCAAATTATATGGAGGCAGGTAGATGCTTGTATGTTTTCAGCAGATGCTTCGTCTGTGGTCTTGTGTTTTTCACTAGAGCAATGTTATTCTCCAGTGTAATGGAACATGTCTTCATTGTGTATTTTGTATTCCTTTTCTTTGTACAGTTTTACAAAAAAGAGAGAGAGAGAATTTATTTTCATCATTAAATCCTGCCAAACACAACAAGCGGCCTGTTTCTTGGAGAATGAAGTGCTGGGAATAAAGAATGTTAAGCTAGCTGTATAGCTGAAATTACGTTGCCTGCAACAAACTTTAGTGAGGACAGCATAATGGTGAAGCGTATCTTTCCTTTGGCTTCACCTGCACAAGTGCCAAGGTAGGTCTCCCCGGCAGAATTGGTTTTCCCCTGTGTCGGGAGCACGCGCTGGGCTGTCCAAATCCTGACAAACAGTATCCCACATTCTGGATTTTTTGTTCACAAACACTTTTTAGTTCTTGACTAACTACTCCTGACATTTTGAAGATGTTAGCTCTTTATACAGTAAAGTTACAGTGGGATACAAATAATATCAGGCTGATCCTGCCACGATTTATCCTCCCTGTACAAATTACTGACAAACAGTATCCCACAATTGTTTATGTTTTTGAACCCATTTTGCACAGAGAGGCATTTTTTGAAAAATGTATTGATAGAAATGTTGAATATTATTACACAGGAAAAAAAACAACTACACGTAAAATAATTACACCATGACGCCTCTGCCTTTCTAAATGGAGTGAATTGCGTGACGAACTCCGTATTCCTAGTCCACACGTAAACGCAAAAACTGTTTTTGAAAATCTCCAACCTCACAGGCGTTTAAAAAAAAAAATCTCTGTTTTCGGTCATTTGAAACGCCGTTTATGTGTGGACAAAAGTCCCAAATGGATAGAAACAGCTGCGTTTTCAAAAATACCGGTCTAGGTTTGGACGAAGCGTAAAAGAGTTAGTAGTTTATTTTATTGCTGCCTGTAATTTATTGCAGTTTACTTTTATTTGTTTAATTGTTTACTAAATGTTTGAGGTGTGAAAAAACCCACATATGCAGGTGTTACATAGGGTTAAAATTATTCAAATGCAGTAAGTATACACGCTTCATATGAATATAGTCTATAACTTAATTATTTTCTGTACCCCACATACTTAAACATTCAGTTGCATAAAACATGTGAATTTTGACTTTATGTACTGCATAGCCTGCATAATAAATAAATATGAAGCCAAATGAGTAGGGCTAGGCCATATCATACTGTTCACGGTAATACCCGTATAACCTTAGGCCAGACCTTCCCAAAGTGTGGGGCCCACCCCCTAGGAGGGGTGCAGAGCCATTGAGGGGGGTGGGGGGGGTATGAAAAGGGAAAAAAACAAAAA